TACTCTGTAATCCTTTTGCGCTACCGCTCACAGGATGAGTGTGGGGTGCACACAGTAAGCTGCCAAAGCGGCAAAATAAAAAAATCAAATCCTGGGTCAGGTCTTACTGTAGGGTGTGTCAACATATGTGGGTTACCACGTGGTCATCTACTTACTGTTATACTGTATGTGTGGGAGGCAGCTAACAGTGTGAGGTACAGATAACAGGGTGAGGTACAGATAACAGTGTGAGGTACAGCTAACAGTGTGAGGTACAGATAACAGGGTGAGGTACAGATAACAGTGTGAGGTACAGATAACAGTGTGAGGTACAGATAACAGTGTGAGGTACAGATAACAGGGTGAGGAACAGATAACAGTGTGAGGTACAGATAACAGGGTGAGGTACAGATAACAGGAGAGGGTACAGATAACAGGGAGGTACAGATAACATGAGGTACAGATAACAGGGTGAGGTACAGATAACAGGGTGAGGTACAGATAACAGGGAGGTACAGATAACAGGAGGTACAGATAACAGTGTGAGTACAGATAACAGGGTGAGGTACAGATAACAGGGTGAGGTACAGATAACAGTGTGAGGTACAGATAACAGGGTGAGGTACAGATAACAGGGAGAGGTACAGATAACAGTGTGAGGTACAGATAACAGGGTGAGGTACAGATAACAGTGTGAGGTACAGATAACAGTGTGAGGTACAGATAACAGGGTGAGGTACAGATAACAGTGTGAGTACAGATAACAGGGTGAGTACAGATAACAGGGTGAGGTACAGATAAACAGTGTGAGGTAGATAACAGGGTGAGGTACAGATAACAGTGTGAGGTACAGATAACAGTGTGAGGTACAGATAACAGGAGGTACAGATAACAGGGTGAGGTACAGATAACAGTGTGGAGGTACAAATAACAGGGTGATGTACAGATAACAGTGTGAGGGTACAGATAACAGTGTGGAGGTACAGCTGTGTGAGGTACAGATAACAGTGTGAAGTACAGATAACAGGGTGAGGTACAGATAAAAGTGTGAGGTACAGATAACAGTGTGAGGTAGAGATAACAGGGTGAGGTACAGATAACAGGGTGAGGTACAGATAACAGGGTGAGGTACAGATAACAGTGAGGTACAGCTGTGAGGTACAGATAACAGTGTGAGGTACAGAAAACAGGGTGAGGTACAGATAACAGTGTGAGGTACAGATAACAGTGTGAGGTACAGCTGTGTGAGGTACAGATAACAGTGTGAGGTACAGATAACAGTATGAGGTACAGATAACAGGGTGAGGTACAGATAACAGTGTGAGGTACAGATAACAGGGTGAGGTACAGCTGTGTGAGGTACAGATAACAGTGTGAGGTACAGATAACAGGGTGAGGTACAGATAACTGGGTGAGGTACAGATAACAGTGTGAGGTACAGATAACAGGTGTGAGGTACAGATAATAAGAGGTACAGATAACAGTGTGAGGTACAGATAACAGTGTGAGGTACAGATAACAGTGTGAGGTACAGATAACAGTGTGGAGGTAACGGTGACAGATAACAGTGTGAGGTACAGATAACAGGTGAGGTACAGATAACAGTGTGAGGTACAGATAACAGTGTGAGGTACAGATAACAGTGTGAGGTAGATAACAGGAGGTACAGATAACAGTGTGAGGTACAGATAACAGTGTGAGGTACAGATAACAGTGTGAGGTACAGGATAACAGGTGAGGTACAGATAACAGGGTGAGGTACAGATAACAGTGTGAGGTACAGATAACAGGGTGAGGTACAGATAACAGTGTGAGGTACAGATAACAGTGTGAGGTACAGATAACAGGTTGAGGTACAGATAACAGTGTGAGGTACAGATAACAGTGTGGAGGTGCAGATAACAGTGTGAGTACAGATAACAGTGTGAGGTACAGATAACAGGTGAGTACAGCGTGAGGTACAGATAACAGTGTGAAGTACAGATAACAGGTGAGGTACAGAAAAGTGTGGGCAGATAACAGTGTGAGGTACAGATAACAGGTGAGGTACAGATACAGGGGTGAGGTACAGATAACAGGGTGAGGTAGCAGATAACAGTGGAGGTACAGCTGTGTGGAGGTACAGATAACAGTGTGAGGTACAGATAACAGTGTGAGGTACAGATAACAGTGTGAGGTACAGATAACAGTGAGGACAAAAAAACAGAGGACAGATACAAGAGGTACAGAACAGGTGAGGCAGATAACAGTGTGAGGTACAGATAACAGGGTGAGGTACAGCTAGTATGATAACAGGTGAGGTACAGATATAGAGTGTGAGGTACAGATAACAGGGGTGAGGTACAGGATAACAGTGAGGTACAGATAACAGGTGTGAGGTACAGATAACAGGGTGAGGTACAGATAACATGTGGAAGTACAGAACAGTGTGAGGTACAGATAACAGGTGAGGTACAGATAACAGTGTGAGGTAAAAGCGTAGGATAACAGTGTGAGGTACAGATAACAGGGTGAGGTACAGGATAACAGTGAGGTACAGATAACAGTGTGAGGTACAGATAACAGGGTGAGGTACAGATAACAGTGTGAGGTACAGATAACAGTGTGAGGTACAGATAAAAGAGTGGGTACAGCAGTGTGAGGTACAGATAACAGTGTGAGGTACAGATAACAGTGTGAGGTACAGATAACAGTGTGAGTGTACAGATAACAGTGTGAGGCAGATAACAGTGAGAGGTACAGATAACAGGGTGAGGTACAGATAACAGTGGAGGTACAGATAACAGGTGAGTAAGCAGATAACAGAGGTACAGATAACAGTGTGAGGTACAGATAACAGTGTGTGAGGTACAGATAACAGTGTGAAGGCAGATAACAGTGTGAGGTACAGATAACAGTGTGAGGTACAGATAACAGGTGAGGTACAGATAACAGTGTGAGGTACAGATAACAGTGTGAGGTACAGATAACAGGGTGGAGGTACAGCTGTGGAGGCAGATAACAGTGTGAGGTACAGATAACAGTGTGAGGTAGAGGTACAGATAACAGTGTGAGGTACAGATAACAGTGTGAGGTACAGCGTGTGAGTACAGATAACAGGAGGACAGATAACAGGGTGAGGTACAGATAACAGTGTGAGGTAGATAACAGTGTGAGGTACAGATAACAGTGTGAGGTACAGATAACAGGGTGAGGTACAGATAACAGTGTGAGGTACAGATAACAGTGTGAGGTACAGATAACAGGTGAGGCAGATAACAGTGAGGACAGATAACAGTGTGAGGTACAGATAACAGGTGAGGTAGATAACAGGAGTACAGGCTGTGAGGTACAGATAACAGTGTGATGTACAGATAACAGTGAGGTACAGATAATAGTGTGAGGTACAGCTAGTACAGATGTGTGAGGTACAGATAACAGTGAGGTACAGATAAAAGTGTGAGAAACAGAACAGTGTGAGGTACAGATAACAGGTGAGGCAGATAACAGGAGGTACAGATAACAGTGTGAGGTACAGATAACAGAGGTACAGAATAACAGTGTGAGGTACAGATAACAGTGGAGTACAGATATAACAGGGTGAGGTACAGATAACAGTGTGAGGTACAGATAACAGTGTGAGGTACAGATAACAGTGTGAGGTACAGAGTGTACAGATAATAGTGTCAGTAAAGGTACAGATAACAGTGTGAGGTACAGATAACAGTGTGAGGTAAAGATAACAGGGTGGTACATAACAGGTGAGGATAACAGTGTGAGGTACAGATAACAGTGAAGAAGGGTGAGGTGATAAATTTGGAAACAGATAACAGTGTGAGGTACAGATAACAGGGTGAGGTACAGATAACAGTGAGTGAGACAGTACAGTAATAACAGTGTGAGGTACAGATAACAGTGTGAGGTACAGATAACAGGTGAGGTACAGATAACAGATAACAGTGTGAGGTACAGATAAACAGATAACAGTGTGAGGTACAGATAACAGGTGAGGTACAGATAACAGGGTGAGGTACAGATAACAGTGTGAGGTACAGATAACAGTAACGATAACAGGGTGAGTACAGATAACATTGTGAGGTACAGATAACAGTGGTGAGGTACAGATAACAGGGTGAGAGGTACAGATAACAGTGTGAGGTACAGCTGTGTGAGGTACAGATAACAGTGTGAGGTACAGATAACAGGGTGAGGTACAGATAACAGTGTGAGGTACAGATAACAGTGTGTGAGGTACAGATAACAGGGTGAGGTACAGATAACAGTGAAGATAACAGTGTGAGTACAGATAACAGTGTGAGGTACAGATAACAGTGGAGGTACAGATAACAGGGTGAGGTACAGATTAATGTGAAAGTACAGATAACAGTGTGAGGTACAGATAATAGAGGACAATAAGAGGGGTACAGATAACAGAGTGTGAGGTACAGATAACAGGGTAACAGTAAAGAGGTAAGATACAGTGTGAGGCAGATAACAGTGTAGTCAGATAACAGTGACAGATAACAGGGTGAGGTACAGATAACAGTGGAGGACAGATAGGGTGAAGTACAGATAACAGTGGAGAGGCGATAACAGTGTGAGGCACAGATAACAGTGTGTACAGATAATTGAGGCAGATAACAGGTGAGGTACAGATAACAGTGTGAGGTACAGATAACAGTGTGACAGGATAACAGTGAGGTACAGATAACAGAGGACAGATAACAGTGTGAGGTACAGATAACAGTGTGAGGTACAGATAACAGTGTGAGGTACAGATAACAGGGTGAGGTACAGATAACAGGGTGAGGTACAGATAACAGTGTGAGGTACAGATAACAGTGTGAGGTACAGATAACAGGGTGAGGTACAGATAACATTGTGAGGTACAGATAACAGGGTGAGGTACAGATAACAGGGTGAGGTACAGATAACAGGGTGAGGTACAGATAACAGTGTGAGGTACAGATAACAGGGTGAGGTACAGATAACAGGGTGAGGTACAGATAACAGGGTGTTAAACTCACAATTTTACTCGACAGAAGCCCAACAGTTTGGTGTGCCCCGTGATTGACGTCATCGACCAAGACACACTGGACTACCGGGCTGCTGGCACCGTCCTTAAGGGAGGTAAGTGCCATGGTCATCTACTGTGTTCGCTAACGGTGAGTGCCACTACCTCACTCTTAAGGGAGGTCAGTGCCACTACCTTATCGTTAAGAGAGGTCAGTGCCACTACCTCATCCTTAAGAGAGGTCAGTGCCACTATCTCACCCTAAAGAGAGGTCAGTTCCACTATCTCACCCTTAAGAGAGGTCAGTGCCACTATCTCACCCTTAAGAGAGGTCAGTGCCACTATCTCACCCTTAAGAGAGGTCAGTGCCACTATCTCATCCTTAAGTTAGGTCAGTGCCACTATCTCACTCTTAAGGGAGGTCAGTGCCACTACCTCATCGTTAAGAGAGGTCAGTGCCACTGTGTCAACCTTAAGAGAGGTCAGTGCCACTATCTCATCCTTAAGAGAGGTCAGTGCCACTATCTCACCCTTAAGAGTGGTCAGTGCCACTACCTCATCCTTAAGGGAGGTCAGTGCCACCATCTCATCCTTAAGAGAGGTCAGTGCCACTATCTCACCCTTAAGAGAGGTCAGTGCCACTACCTCACCCTTAAGAGAGGTCAGTGGCACTACCTCATCGTTAAGGGTCAGTGGCACTATCTCACCCTTAAGAGAGGTCAGTGCCACTATCTCATCCTTAAGGAGGGTCAGTGCACTACCTCATCGTTAAAAGAAAGAGGTCAGTGCCACTATCATCCTTAAAAAGAGAGGTCAGTGCCACTATCTCACCTTAAGAGAGGTCAGTGCCACTACCTCATCCTTAAGGGAGGTCAGTGCCACTATCTCACCCTTAAGAGAGGTCAGTGCCACTATCTCACCCTTAAGAGAGGTCAGTGCCACTACCTCACTCTTAAGAGAGGTCAGTGGCACTACCTCATCGTTAATAGAGGTCAGTGCCACTATCTCACCCTTGTGAGAGGTCAGTGCCACTACCTCATCCTTAAGGGAGGTCAGTGCCACTACCTCATCGTTAAGAGAGGTCAGTGCCACTACCTCATCGTTAAGAGAGGTCAGTGGCACTATCTCACCCTTAAGAGAGGTCAGTGCCACTATCTCATCCTTAAGGGAGGTCAGTGCCACTACCTCATCGTTAAGAGAGGTCAGTATCTCAACCTTAAGTTAGGTCAGTGTCACTATCTCAACCTTAAGTTAGGTCAGTGCCACTGTGTCAACCTTAAGTTAGGTCAGTGCCACTATCTCACCCTTAAGAGAGGTCAGTGCCACTATCTCAACCTTAAGAGAGGTCAGTGCCACTATCTCACCCTTAAGAGAGGTCAGTGCCACTATCTCATCCTTAAGGGAGTTCAGTGCCACTACCTCATCGTTAAGAGAGGTCAGTGCCACTATCTCATCCTTAAGAGAGGTCAGTGCCACTATCTCACCCTTAAGAGAGGTCAGTGCCACTATCTCAACCTTAAGAGAGGTCAGTGCCACTATCTCACCCTTAAGTTAGGTCAGTGCCACTATCTCAACCTTAAGTTAGGTCAGTGCCACTATCTCAACCTTAAGTTAGGTCAGTGCCACTATGTCAACCTTAGGGTCAGTGCCACTGTTGTCAACCTTAAGTTAGGTCAGTGCCACTATCTCACCCTTAAGAGGTCAGTGCCACTATCTCAACTTAAGTTAGGTCAGTGCCACTATCTCCAACACCTAAGTTAGGTCAGTGTCACTATCTCACCTTAAGTTAGGTCAGTGTCACTATCTCAACCTTAAGTAGGTCAGTGCCACTATCTCACAACCTAAGTTAGGTCAGTGCCACTGTGTCAACCTTAAGATTGAGTCAGTGTCACTATCTCAACCTTAAGTTAGGTCAGTGTCACTGTGTCAACCTTAAGTTAGGTCAGTGCCACTGTGTCAACCTTAAGGTTAGGTCAGTGCCACTGTGTCAGCATCAAGATTGGTCAGTGCCACTGTTTCAACTTTAAGTAGGTCAGTGCCACTGTCTCAACCTTAAGTTAGGTCAGTGCCACTATCTCAACCTTAAATTAGGTCAGTGCCACTGTCTCAACCTTAAGTTAGGTCAGTGCCACTGTCTCAACCTTAAGTTAGGTCAGTGCCACTATCTCCACCCTTAAGAGGTCAGTGCCACTATCTCAACCTTAGTTGGGTCAGTGCCACTATCTCAACCTAAGTTAGGTCAGTGCCACTATCTCAACCTTAATTAGGTCAGTGCCACTATCTCAACCTTAAGTTAGGTGTGTCACTGTGTCAACCTTAAGTTAGGTCAGTGCTACTATCTCAACCAAGTAGGTCAGTCTACTATCTCAACCTTAAGAGGTCAGTGCACTATCTCAACCTTAAGTTAGGTCAGTGCCACTATCTCAACCTTAATTAGGTCAGTGCCACTATCTCAACCTTAAGTTAGGTCAGTGTCACTATCTCACCCTTAAGAGGTCAGTGCCACTATCTCAACTTAAGTTAGGTCAGTGTCACTATCTCAACCTTAAGTTAGGTCAGTGCCACTATCTCAACCTTAAGTGGGTCAGTGCCACTATCTCAACCTTAAGTTAGGTCAGTGTCACTGTGTCAACCTTTAGTTAGGTCAGTGTCACTGTGTCAACCTTAAGTTAGGTCAGTGCCACTGTGTCAACCTTAAGTTAGGTCAGTGTCACTGTGTCAACCTTAAGTTAGGTCAGTGCCACTATCTCAACCTTAAGTTAGGTCAGTGTCACTATCTCACCCTTAAGAGAGGTCAGTGCCACTATCTCAACCTTAAGTAGGTCAGTACTATCTCACCTTAATTTAGGTCAGTGCCACTATCTCACCCTTAGAGGTCAGTGCCACTATCTCACATCAAGTTAGGTCAGTGTCACTATCTCAACCTTAAGTTAGGTCAGTGTCATCACCCTTAGAGAGGTCAGTGCCACTATCTCAACCTTAAGTTAGGTCAGTGTCACTATCTCCAACTTAAGTTAGGTCAGTGCCACTATCTCACAGCAAGTTAGGTCAGTGCCACTATCTCAACCTTAAGTTAGGTCAGTGCCACTATCTCAACCTTAAGTTAGGTCAGTGTCACTATCTCAACCTTAAGTTAGGTCAGTGCCACTATCTCAACCTTAAGAGAGGTCAGTCCACTTCTCAACCTTAAGTTAGGTCAGTGCCACTATCTCAACCTTAAGTTAGGTCAGTGTCACTATCTCAACCTTAAGTTAGGTCAGTGTCACTATCTCAACCTTAAGTTAGGTCAGTGTCACTATCTCAACCTTAAGTTAGGTCAGTGCCACTATCTCAACCTTAAGTTAGGTCAGTGCCACTATCTCAACCTTAAGTTAGGTCAGTGCCACTATCTCAACCTTAAGTTAGGTCAGTGTCACTATCTCATCCTTAAGTTAGGTCAGTGTCACTATCTCAACCTTAAGTTAGGTCAGTGCCACTATCTCAACCTTAAGTTAGGTCAGTGCCACTATCTCACCCTTAAGAGGTCAGTGCCACTATCTCCACTGCAAGTTAGGTCAGTGTCACTATCTCAACCTTAAGTTAGGTCAGTGTCACTATCTCACCTAGAATTAGGTCAGTGCCACTATCTCAACCTTAAGTTAGGTCAGTGCCACTATCTCACCCTTAAGAGAGGTCAGTGTCACTATCTCAACAAGTTGGGTCAGTGCCACTATCTCACCCTTAAGAGAGGTCAGTGCCACTATCTCAACTAAGTTAGGTCAGTGTCACTATCTCACACCAAGTTAGGTCAGTGCCACTATCTCAACCTTAAGTTAGGTCAGTGCCACTATCTTACCCCTAAGAGGGTCAGTGCCACTATCTCAACCTTAAGTTAGGTCAGTGTCACTATCGCAACCTTAGTTAGGTCAGTGCCACTGTGTCAACCTTAAGTTAGGTCAGTGTCACTGTGTCAACTTCTAAGTTAGGTCAGTGCCACTGTTTCAACCTTAAGTTAGGTCAGTGCCACTATCTCAACCCTAAGTTGGGTCAGTGCCACTGTGTCAACCTTAAGTTAGGTCAGTGCCACTGTGTCAACCTTAAGTTAGGTCAGTGCCACTGTTTCAACCCTTAAGTTAGGTCAGTGCCACTGCTTTAAGTTAGGTCAATGCCACTGTGTCAACCTTAAGTTAGGTCAGTGCCACTATCTCATCCTTAAGAGGTCAGTGCCACTATCTCACCTTAAGAGGTCAGTGCCACTATCTCAACTTAAGAGGTCAGTACCACTATCTCACCCTTAAGAGAGGTCAGTGCCACTATCTCACCCTTAAGAGGTCAGTGCCACTATCGTATCCTTAAGGAGGTCAGTCCACTACCTCATCGTTAAGTGAGGTCAGTGCCACTATCTCATCCTTAAGAGGTCAGTGCCACTATCTCACCATAGAGAGGTCAGTGTCACTATCTCACCCTTAAGAGAGGTCAGTGCCACTGTGTCAACCTTAAGTTAGGTCAGTGTCACTATCTCAACCTTAAGTTAGTCAGTGCCACTATCTCACCCTTAGAGAGGTCAGTGCCACTGTGTCAACAAGTTAGGTCAGTGTCACTATCTCAACCTTAAGTTAGGTCAGTGTCACTATCTCAACCTAAGTTGGGTCAGTGCCACTATCTCAACCTTAAGTTAGGTCAGTGCCACTGTGTCAACTTAAGTTAGGTCAGTGCCACAATCTCACCCCTTAGAGAGGTCAGTGCCACTATCTCAACCTTAAGTTAGGTCAGTGTCACTATCTCAACCTTAAGTTAGGTCAGTGCCACTATCTCAACCTTAAGTTAGGTCAGTGCCACTGTGTCAACCTTAAGTTAGGTCAGTGTCACTGTGTCAACCTTAAGTTAGGTCAGTGCCACTGTGTCAACCTATGGGTCAGTGCCACTATCTCACCCTTAAGTTGTCAGTCCTGTTTCACTTGGGTCAGTGCCACTATCTCAACCTTGTTAGGTCAGTGCCTATCTCAACCATTAGGTCGTGCCACTGTTTCAACCTTAAGTTGGGTCAGTGCCACTGTTTCAACCTTAGTTAGGTCAGTGCCACTATCTCACCATAGAGGTCAGTGCCACTCTCAACAAGTTAGGTCAGTGTCACTAT